CACACACACACCTCCTTTACACACACGCCTCCCCTTTCCACCCAAGCTATTTTTTACTCTACATAAATATGCTTCCATAAGAAGAAGAAGAAAAACTTTTTTTCTTCCTCGTTGGAAAGAAGAAAATCTCTCCAAAGAAACTCCAACAAACCATTCAGAAATCCCCCACGACGAAGCAGAAGATGGCTCACGGGTCGATAAAAGTAAGAAAGGTAAGGGCCTGAGGCTAAATTTTGTCTTTTCTTTCTCTGCTTTGGCTTCTGTTTCCTTGTGTTGTGGTGTTTTATGGTTTTATTGCCCCCGCGCATTTGGCGAGGTCACGCTGTAAGAGCATTTACGGCCGTGGGGTCTTTGACTGCAAGCGCTTTGGGAGTGTTTGTGTTGGAATGAGCCTGTGTGTGTTTGCTGGCCACCTATACGGCTATAGATGACGGGCCGGTGTTGTGCTCTTTATTCCTTCAGTTTATGCAACCATTGGTGTTAACTCTGCGTCTGTCAACCACGAGATCCGACGCTTCCTAAACAGCTGCTGTTGTGCGTCAAACGTGCTGCGGTGCGTCTTTTACGCATGGTATTTGTAAAGAGCCCGTTTTTGTGTGCTTTTTCGAAAGGCTGATCTTTAATTTTTGATAGGTTATATAATATTATCGAGTTGCTAACTAAACAAGGATGCCTATGGAGTCCCGTATTACTCAAGGAAAATTATAAATGTTGTTGCTAATATGTGACAGAAAGGCCCACGAGAATAATTTCTGGTTCCTGGAACTTATTATGCATTTTTTCTTAGCTGCGTTTCTGCGGTTATAAAGTGTTTCTGTGGTTTAGGACCTATACCTTTTAATGAGATATTGTTAGTGTATATGTGTGTGTACTCTGTTTGCCAGGTGCAGGCTACAGACACTGCAGTGGGAATATGAATAATACGGCCTTCGGTCGAACTGAGGGGGCGCGCTGGTTAATGAATACTGTCTCGGTTGCGCTTCAAAACAATTTAGCTCGAAAACAAACGGTTCGCGAGGCTTTTCAAATGAACTGCCAATGATCGCCGGTCGCGATGCGAGCTCAGGTCCTCCGCTATCTGCTGAGCCTAACAGCGACGGCCTCAAGAAGCGCGTTCACTTCAGTTTGACCCCTTCAGAAATCAATCTGCCAGCGATTCAAATTAAGGGGTAGCATTCTGCTAGATGGGCCTTCAACCTCTCAAGGGGACGCGTGGTGCGGCGTGATTCGATGTGTGGAAAGGAAGGACAAAACGGAATAGAAAGAAAAAAGAGAAGGAGAGATGGAGGAGGGAAAAAAATCAATGGTCATACACGGAATGGCCAAGCTAAGGCCACAGAGGGTTCAGCCAGGGGACACGTTTTTTTCTGACCGATGAGGTCCAGTGGCTCTGAAACCAGAGGCTGACCTGTGGCTCCCCTCTTCATCCTCCACACCACACCTACCCCCTCTAGTCCCTGTCCCCCTTGACCTCACTAGGTTGCGCTCCCTCGGACATTCCCAGACCTCCAGAGCCACCAGGCCATTTAGTCATAACAGACTGAGTTCAGGGCACTGTAACCCAGGGGTACAACAGTGATATCTCCACTCCCACACCCAAACAGACAGACAGCAGACAACCCATCCACCTCTATAGGGGTCAGTAAGAAGCCACTGCTGACTGGGACTTCAACTGAAGTGTGGTGTAGAGGTTTGAGTCATCTGAAACTACTGGAAATGTCTTTCCTTCGTTGAACCCTCTGTCGTTTAGAGAATATAAGACTGGGGCTCTCTGCGTCTGGTCCTGGGAGCTAAAGTGCGAAACTGTGTCGTAGATGTGTTAGGCCTGATGCTGCACAGACCTCGATGATAATGTAAACACAGCATGCCCCTTCTGTCTGCATGGCTGCAAAAGCTGCTAGTAGTCTTTTAACTAGTGGACGTTCTCGCCTGTGTGTGTGTGTGTGTGTGCGTGTGTGCGTGCGTGTGTCTTCAATAGTACTGATTCAGCAAAGCAACAAGTATATGAACAAGAAGTTGTGTATCAGTCATAACAGTGTCTGTGTATATTTATTAAAATTATAAGACATTTCAATTACATTAAACTTCAAAAGACATTTTTAAATGAACCACTAAGAAGCAGTCAGATATTTATACACGAGCTGCTGTGTATTCACTGGTGGCGGAATCCTTAAAACTGTGCTATGCACTTTGCCTTGCATCGGGAAAACCTTTGGCTCAGGTCAGCCATGTACTATAGCGTAACGATAAGATGATCGTTAATTGACAGTTTTTCCACTTACAGCAAATGTGAAGCTGGAGTGCTTCAATGCCACAGTTTACAAATAGTTTAAGACAGGAAAGGTTGAAGTTTATAGAACTCTGATTTTCTGAGTATTATTGGGAATCTTTGGAAACTTCTTTCATTTCTTTTTCCACGATCTGTTTTTCCCTGTGACTCAGCTGATAGTTAGCAAAATATATCTTTTTAAATGAATTGGTGTTTTCTAGTTATTACATAAGGTTTATAGGGTTGGCAAGGGTTTGTACAATCACAGTTAACTATAAAAGTATTCAGAGTAACCATTTTAATTTTTAAGGTTTGAAATGTTCAAACATGTTATGCTTATTTTGGTAGTAGTGCAACATTCGATGAGTCGGACACAGTACATACAGACACAGATGTGGGAAAACGTACAAAAGCTGTAGACCAGCTGTTTTGTTAGGATTTTTTGTATTTGTTTTAACTTACATTTCTGTTAAGTCCTGTAAGAACTAACGGATGCAGTTTTAAAAATAGGCAAGCCATTCCAGCATGTGACAGAAAAGTGTTTTTGTGCATTTTGGTAACAAATACTGCAGTCAGGTGAATAAATCTATATTACAATATTACAATTATGTGGGAAAATTCAAACTTGACCCATCCCTCAATGTTAATGTTGAGTGTTAATGGATATTAAAATACTATAATATGATTCATAAAGGACCAATTCTTCAAGTGACTTAATGTAATTTCTACTTTGAGCTCTTGCAGTTTCACTGAAAAACAAACAAACAAACAGTATATCTCTTATATCGCAAAGGTCTGTTGAGCTTTCCTTTACTGAAAGATACTTTATACCTGTACGCTTGTGTGAAGTGTTTTCTCT